CCAGGGATCAAACTGGGGTCCTTGTGCAGCAGGTGGTGAAACCACTGAACTAAATCCCCTGCCCTCACGGTTGAGTTTTAACAGTTTTTTTGGTGTCCTAGGTACTGTTCCCTTGTCAAATACACTATTTACAAATATTTTCTCATAGTCTCTCTGTTGGTCATTTGTCCTTTTGTTACTGGGTACTCACCTTCTAAAAATGGCTCACTGAATAAACGTTACTGTGTTTTGGGTTGTTCGCCTCTTGGTTTCCAGGTTCTTGGATTGAACAAATAATTGAATGAAACAAGCAAATAAATAAACCCAGTGACAAAGTTTACTTGAAAAAGTAAAAATGAAGAGCGAGGAAGAAAGGCTCTGCAGAGTGAGCTTGGGCTGAGTAAAAGAGGAAAAAGCAAGATAAAAGTACACCCTGGAGGGCACAGGAAGGCTATTGTGAAGAAAGCCATGATAGTGAGCTCTTTATGGTGTCTGTGTTCTTTGAGTCTAAATCTTGAGGGAACCTGCAAGAACTTCTATATATGGGCCCTGAGAGGCAGTGCTGGAATCTTATGCCTCTCTTCCCAGCCAGTCTAAGTCGAGCCTTGTCTCCTATCTCACTTTGTCATTGGATGTGGTCCAAAGAAGACCTCAAAAAAGAGATGGGAATTTTGACTTGGCCCTGGGAATGTTCTTAACATTGTCACAGAAGAACATTTCAGGACAAGGTCAGTACTAGGCATAGGCTGATTGATTAGGGAGAGTTAGAAAGCAAGAGAAAATAGGAAAGGGACTTCAATTTTTTTTGTCAGGCGAGATTGGACCTACGCCTTTTGCACTGAGCTACATCCCCAGCCCTTGTTTTATTTTTCATTTTGAAATAAAGTCTCTCTAAGTTGCTCATGTTGTGCTTGAATTTACCACCCCCTGCCTTAGCCTTCTGGAATTATAGGTGGTGACACCCTGTGGGGACTTCACTTTAAGGAGCCCAAGGGGCACAGCTCTGATGAAGAGAAATCAGACTGGCATGTCAACAAAGGAGAAAGGAGCAGCTTTAAAGGAGTTGTGGTAACTGGGGTCTTGATCATTATCCCAGTTTCAATTTGGCAAATGGCTCTGGAGAGGTCCTTATCACTTAATCCCTTCTTCATGAGATAATTGTTTCTGCTTGGGAAAGTCTTGATTTTGAGCAAGCCTCTGCTGGAATTGAGGGTGATCTCAGAGGTTTAGGGAAATGACTGGAGATTACTGGGTACTTACTAGTAGTTGGATTGCCCTGTAAATCTCTTATGTTGATGTCCTCAGTCTTGAAAGAGGATGAAATAGATTAGGTAAATTAAGCAATATTGTATTGCTAGCTTTTAGACACTCCCTAAATGCTTACCACGCTCTCTATACAGATCTGAGCAAGAATTTGACCCAAAGTTTTAAGGAAATAGGAGACAGATACAAAATGAAGGCCAAACTTTGCTTTGCATTTAGTTACCTATTGGGCATCTGTAGGTGCCATTAAAGAGACTCTTTAGCAGAAGCAGTTTTGAAGTTCCAGACTGGCTCAGAAGAAAACACAAGTCATGCCTTTTTAAAAAATACACTGGGGATTGAACTCAGGGCTATAGACTGAGCTACATCTCCAGCCCTTTTGTTTTTATTTTTATTTTTTTATTTTGAGAGAGGGTCTTGCTAAGTTGCCTAGGCTGGACTTGAAGTGATGATTTTTCTGCCTCAGCCTCCAGTGCTGGGATTGCAGACATTACCTCACCCAGCTATAGCATGCTTTTAATGAGTTGCAGGTTAAAGGCCCCGGAATTTGTCTTCTGTCCTTATGGTCTTTGACTATCTTACTTTAAAGTTTAAAAGTTTTTAAACAGTACAGTTGATCAACATTTATCCTTTGTCATTTGTTTTTTATGTCTTGAAATCATTTTTTTCCAGATCATTTTATTAGTACATGTTTATAGCCATAATGTTTACGTTTCTCGTAGGAAATTGGTACATGTACATGATACACCTTAGTAACTTTTTTCATCTCCTTTCCCTTCCTTCCCTCCTCCATCCATCTCTCGACCCCCCCCCCCCACTTTGGAGTTGGCATATGTACGTAACGCATTTTAATTTCTTTTTCATCCCTTTTCCCTTTCTTCCCCACCATTCTCCCTCCATCTCTTGATCCCTTTACCCCTTTGAGAAAGGTCATGAAGATTTACTCCTGTTCCTTAATAGTTTAATTTTAGAATTAATTAGAATTAATTTATATATATAGTGTGAAGAAATTTCCTTCTTTTGTATGTATAGTTTATCTTTGACTGTCTTGTACTACTAAATGCAATAATACAACATGTAGTTTTTGTGACTGACATTTTAATGTTTGTGAGATTTCACCTATTTTGTGGAGTAAGTTCATTCGCACTACTATGTAATCATTGCATGCATTTACAAAAATTATTCATGTATTCTACAGTCCACGATGGTTGTTTATATTAAAAGTGTATTTTCCTATGTTGGCTTCATATTAGTCTTTTATACATGTCTTAGAAAAAACATTTCATGTTTACTTATGGTGTTGATAGCTGTTACAGAGATACACTTGATATGGGACATGTTCTTCTAATGTTCCAGAGCAAAATAATCAAAAGTAGAAACACAACTGGCAGAAATGACTGATCTTTGAAGCTTTTGCTTGGTTTAAGTATAGGCCATGTCTGTTCATATTTCATAGGCCAAAACATCATAAAACTACTGTAGGTCTATGAGACAGGAAGTTACCCTCTTTTTCAGTGACATTGGAAGTCACATGGCCATGAATAGGGGTGAATAATCCTTTCTCAGGAAAGGAGAAGTACATACTCTGCAACAGTATTGAATTTTTCCACTTTATTTGTGAGGTGGCTTTTTGAATTTCTTATTTCCTGTTATCTTGACTTTTGATTATTTCCAGTATTTTGTTTTTCCTTTTCCCTTTTTCTTTTACTTAGTAAGCTCTGAGTATAATCCCTTGTTGGTTATATGTATCACAGATATTTTCTCCAAATAATGTCTTATGTTAAATAAAATCCTAATACCTAGTTTATCTGCATCTTTCCTTTATAGTTGTACTTCTTGTTTTATTACTCTTCCTACTCCAGAACTATGAAGCAGCTCACTTCTTTACATTATCTTCTAGAATCCTTATTGTTTTGGCTTTACATTTCAGTCTATAGTCAATCTAGAACTGATGTTTTGTTGACATTTTAACATACCCCTGCAAGTCTAAAAAGAATTGAAATGGTCTCTAAGACCAAACTAACTTCATTTTTAGAGAAACATGTTGATATTGAATTGAACAAAAGTAGAAAATATGTTTTTATATTTTTAGTCTTGTTTTTTTTTACCGGTACTGGGGATCAAACTCAGGACCTTGTGCTTGTGAGGCCAGCACAGCACCATGGAGCTAAATCCCTTGCCCTATATTTATACTCTTATTTTAGCAGATTGCTAAAAACCATGTTGGGCATAATTTAATTTTTACTGTATTTAAAATTACAAAAATTTACCTTTCTATAGCTGCAGGTAGAAAGTGAGCTACAAAGGTTGGCCTTTAATTATCAAGCTACAAAACCTGATAGTACGTACATTTCAGAAATTAATAGAAAGACCTATGCTTCAAGTGAGACCTTCATCTTAATCTTTTGGAGAGTTTATATTCATCTTCCATTATTACTCAGTTCTTTCTTTCCTTTTGTGCTAAGGTGTTTCTAATACATTTCTGGTGAATATACAAGGGGAGTAATTTCTGGATGCTTAATTGTTTAAATAATTATAATTCTATGGAAACACATTGGTGGTTTTTCTTCAGCAGTCTGAACTAGTTCTCTCCAGAATGTTTACTTACACCTAAGCATGTTGTAGCACTATTTCCCTTCTAATATTTGTAAGAGTGGTTGGATATTAAGTTTTATTATCCAGTGGACCAAAATACTTGTTCTTAAAAATTGATCAAGCTGAACAAATAGTGCCATTAGAAATAGGTTTGTTTTGACCTTGTATTCCATATTTTTTATTATTATATCTGACATCTTTTAGTATTGACAGTTCAGATTTGGAATTAGGTCAAACTTCTTACCTGAAAGAGTGAATTATTTAAATTGTAGTTAAGAAATAGTATACATTAAATGATAAGAAATATATATAGGGCTAGGGATGTAGCTCAGTGGTGCTGTGCTTGCCTGGCAAGCACAAGGTCTTGCATTCAATCCCCGGTATGGGGTGGGGTGGGGGGAGTAATAAAAATGTATTAAGATTAATAGATGAAAACTCAACGATTATAATTTGATCAGCATAGAAATAAACTGTAAGCCAGGCTTGGTGGCACAGGCCTGTAATCCCAGCCCTCTGGAAGGTTGAGGCAGGAAGATCTCAAGTTTGAGCCCAACTGGAACAATTTAGTAATTTAGACTTTGTCTCAAAATAGAGAAGGTTGGGGATATAGCTCAGTGGAAAGGCCCTGGATTCAATCCTCAGTACTGAAAAAAAAAGTCTGAGTTCTGTATTAAGAAGTACATAGAAAAATGAAAAGTTGGGCTGGGGATTTAGCTCAGTGGCACCATGCCTGCCATGCAAGCGCAAGGTCCCGAGTTCGATCTCCAGTACAAAGAAAGAGAAAAAAAGAAAAAGATTCTTAGAACTACACAAATATTTTGTATGTAAATACATATTATAAAAACAATGTCAGAATGCAACCACCTAAATACAGGTCAGTATTGCAAATATAACATCTTAAAGTACTGGATTTGGTCAAAAATTGTAAGGTTAATCTCCTTTATCTGTTATGACACTTAAAAAAAAACTGAATCATGTGGATATGCTGTAATTTTTCTTTACAGTTCACTGCTACCCTTTACATTTTGTTATCCTCAAGGACTTCCCCTTAAATGTCTTCATACTAAAATAAAGTAATAATATTAGCTTTGAATATTTTTTGTATTAACTAAAAGCCATTATCTTAGACTTTTTATTAACTGGGCATTGATTTTGCTTTTCAGCGGGGATTCGATGAGCTTCTTTCTTGTGGTGTCACTAACGGCTCTTCTACCATGAACAGTTCTAGTCCTTCGACAGGTGTATATGGTGAGTATCAATGTTTTCAAATTTTTTTCTATGTATTTCAAGATTTTAAAAAAGTGTTGTTATTTTGCTCATCTTACATACATTGAAGTGTATGTGTTTGTAATAAAACTAAAATTTGTTGTAGTTTATGTAGATGAAATCCCTAGTTACAGTTCTCTTTAAGTTTTAAGGATTTATTTGGATCTAATCTGATGATTCCTATTTAATTGATGTTCTTTTTGTTAAATAGTTGTGATAAAACTAGTATCAATAAGTTTGTGACCCAGAACTATTGAATAAAAGAGCTGGATTTATTTTGGAGGGTAGCGGGGGTTGAACTCAAGACCTTGCACTTGTGAGGCAGGCGGCAGAACCACTGAGCTAAATCCCCAGCCCCAAAAGAGCTGGATTTAAATCTGTGTTGAATGATGATGGACTTGTTAAAACTATATGACCACATGATTTTGGGAGATTGCTTTGTGTGTTTTTATGGTGCTGGAGATCAAATCCAGGGTGAGCTCTATGACTGAACTATATCCCCAGCCCCCACATGATTTTTACAAATTGAAATATAATAATCCACATACCACAAGGTACTACATGATTAAAAATAAATGCTCTTGAAATATGAAGATTTTGCCAGCTATGGTGGCACATGCCTGTAATTCTAGTATTCAGGAGGCTGAGGCAAGGGAATCACTGGGAGTTCAAGGCCAGCCTGTCCTCCATAGTGAGTTCAAGGGCTGCCTGAACTACATAATGAGACTTTTTCTCAGAAAAAAAAAATGAATTGTAGGAGTGCAATACTGGAACGAGAGTGACCAATTAAAAGGTTACTGCAGTCTTTTTTTTTTTTCAAGTACTGGGGATCGAACTCAGAACCTTACATTTGCAAGGCAGTCGCAGCACCACTGAGCTACATCCCCAGCCAGGTTATTGCAGTCTTAGTAAGTGATGGTTAACTTGCACTTTGGAAGTGACAGTTGTGATGAAGAGAATTGGAGAACTTAATGTAAAATTAGTAGTAATTTGTAATCAATTAAATGTTTGAATAAGGGTTCTGTCAATGATTTTCAGGATTTGGACTTGGATAATTGGATAGATCAATAGTGCCATTTATTTCTGTCGGAAAATATAAGAACACAGTTGGACAACACAGCTGGTTCAGATTTGTATGTATTAATTTTGAGGTTCTTTTAGAACATCCAAATGGAAATGTCCCATAGGTAGAGGGTTCCTGGTCTCAATATTGTGAGAGAAATTTAGTAGTCAGAATCATACATACTTGGCCAACTAAAATCATGGAAATGAGATATTCAGAAAAGGTAGGATTTTTTTGTCTAGATATTTTTGAAGATAGGGTTGTAGAGAATGAGTCACTTTTTCATGACTGAGCCTACATATGGTTTGGGAGAATAGTCTGTAGATGAATACTTTATAAGAGAAGTGAACAAGGTTAAGTCAGTTAAGGTGAAAAGATGAAAAGAAAATTCATTGAAAACAATGCATGGGAATTGGTCGACCACAGCACACCTTTAAAGGATTAAACGGGAAGGTTTCATAGGCAGAGCGACAGCAAGATATTTGTTCATGTGAAAGTGTGGACAGTAATATAGGCGTTGAGACTACAAAGTAGACTTGTCAAAGTTGAGCTCATATTAGATCAGGGAGAGAAGGGAGCTTGTTAAAACACAGTTGCCAGAGTTGGGGATGTAGCTCAGTGTTAGAGCACTTGCCTGGCATGTACAAGGCCATAGGTTCTATCCCCAGTATCGGGAGAACTGCAGTTGCTGAGTCCACTGGGAACATTTCTAATTCAGTAGGTCAGGGATGGATCTTAAGAGTTTGTTTTTCTACAAGTTTCCATAATGCTGATGCTGCCATTTGAGGAATCACATTTTTTTTTTTTGTACTGGGGATCAAACTCAGGACCTTGGACTTTCGAGGCAGGCAGCGGCACTACTGGGCTAAATCCCTGGCCCTGTTTGTTTTTTGGTAGTGGGGATTGAACTCGGGTCCTTGTGCTTGCAAGGAAGACGGTGGAACCACTGAGCTAAATCCCCAGCCCCACATTTTAAAAACTACTGGTTAAAAGGCTGGAATCTGAAGTTTCTAAACCTGATTTTACTGGCATTGAGAACTAGTACTAGATTGTTCATTTGTCCTACTCAAAAATGATTCAACTCTCCACAGAGTTGCCTCATTCTAAAACTCCAGTTAAAGCTCTGTGGGTCCATCTCATTCTGTCCTGATTTGTCTTAACCGCTCTTATATATCTTGTCATCCTTTTCTCCAAAATGACCTGTGTTTTGGATGATTTCCTTAAAATAATTCTCTGACTCACTCATTATTTGCTCAGCATTCTCTAATTTGCTATTTAATTCTTCCATTTGATTTTAGGGCTTATATTTTTTATTTCTCCAGAAAGGTGATCAAGGGCTTATTTGATTTCTTGATTTTGTTGAGGACCAGACTTTTTCTACTTTATTCTTTCATCCTTAACATATGACAGTGGTGAACCTATGGCACCTGTGCCACAGTGGGCTGTTTATCATCACTGAAAGCTCTAAAAGATTCACCATCACTGACATGTGACCACCTTCTTAATGTCTGAAATAATACTTTATCTCCATCAGTCTTTAGGAAGAAGAATAATGAAATTTAAAGCTAGACTTCACCTTAGATAATGATGAAAATCACAGCCTAAACATGATAGAGTTGAGAGGTGGAAACAGTCCTGTAAGGATAAGACCTAGACCTTAGACTTTTTTCTCTCATCTGTTAGACCTTAGTTACACTGACACATCATCACTTCACGGGGGAGAAGGGCCTAGGAAATTGGCCTATAGCATGCCTATCTAATCACAGTTCTATTACTTTAAAAAGGAAGGAGAATACAGATACTGGAGGGGATGCTAGTCTCAATTATATATGTATTCAATGAAATACACTATCCGTTTGTTTGTTTATATTTAATTAGAAAAAAATTTTTTTGGTAGAACTGGGAATTGAACTCAGGGCCTTTGCAGTTAGTTACCTCCCAAGCCCTGTTTTATTTTGAGCAAGGTCTTGGTAAGTTGCCGGGTTATTCAGGGTGGGCTCAAATTGGTGATCCTCCTGCCTTAGCCTTCCAGTGTGCTGGTTTTCAGGTGTATTCCACCAAGCCTGCCTGGTCAGGATTTTTCCATTTGTGACCAACTGATTTAGCGTAATACCCTCAGAGTTCATCTATGTTTTAGCTTATGATAGGATGTCCTTTCCTTTCTTTTTATCTTTCAAGGCTAAATAAAGTTCCATTATACATATATACAGATATTCTACCTAATTTCATACTTAATTTTCTTTATTCATTCATCTGTCCCTGAACATTTTGATTGTGTCCACTGTTTTTGAGAGACATGTTACAACAAACATAGTGTGCAAATATCTCTTTACATTCTTTTTTCAGTTGAATTGAAGTGGAATTGTTGGATCGTATAGTAATTCTAGACTAATTTTTAGATTCTGGATTTTTATTTTTGAGACGAGTCTTACTATGTAGTTCAGGCTGATCTTGAACTAACTTTGTAGTCCAGGCTGGCCTTGAACTTGTAGTAATCCTCCTGTTTCAGCCTCCTGAATCCTGGTATTACAGGCATGCACCACCATGCCTAGTGTAATTTTTTGAGGAACCACTATGCTTTGTTCCATAGTGACTACACACTATGTCACATTTCCACCAGTTGTGCACAAAGATTTATTTTTTCACATTTTTGCCAACACTTGCTATTTAATTTTGTATTTAGCACAGTGGTATACTAATTAGTGTGGTTTTTAAAATGAATCAGTGTAATGCACCTACAACTTAAAAAAGAAAAACTATGCTCATCTTAATGGATCCAAAAGGCATTAAAAAGAATAAACCTCCTAATCTCTTTCTTTTCTTTTTTTTTTTTTTTTTTTGATACCGAGGATCAAACTTGGGACCTTGCACTTGCGAGGCAGGTCGCAGAACCACTGAGTTAAATCCCTGGCCCTAAACCTCCTAATCCTGATAAAACAAAACTGTCAGCCAACTAGAAATATAAGGGAACCTTTTCAGCCTGATAAAAGTGTGAAACTGCAACTGGCAATTTACTTAGGGTATAAGACAAGACCTTTCCTCTAAAATTAAGACTGAAACAAAGATGATCAACCTTGTTTCTTTTCTTTTCTTTTCTTTTTTTTTGGTACCGGGGATCGAACTCGGGACCCTGTGCTTGTGAGGCAGGCAGCGGCACCACTGAGCTAAATCCCCGGCCCAACCTCGTTACTTTTCATTCAGCGTTGTACAGAAGGTCCTACCCTAGTACAAAAAGTTAGAAAAAAAAAAAAAAAAGCCAGAGTGGAAATTTCTTCTCAGAAAGTAAGATAGAACTTTGTAGGGAAAATAAAGAATTGTGCACAGTTACAGAATATAGGGTCTGCATACCAGAATTGTTTTTATATATACATTAATCAATGATTAGTTGGAATATAAATTTTTAAAAGTGTTGTAGTTATATACAAGTTTGTTTTTAAAATTATGAAGTTTCCATAGGCATGTGCAGGGCCATAAAACTCTAATTTCAGTTTGTTGGGAGGGTGAGACAGGCGGATAACTCGAGCCCAGAAGTTCAAAGCCAAGTCTGAACAGTAGAGCAAAACTCCATGTCCAAAAGATTAAAAATTATGAAGTTCTTAGGGGGCAATGTATCAAAACGATGTGCAAGACCATTACACAGAAAGCTACAGAACACTGAGTGAAATTAGAGGGTTAAATAAATGTAGAGATAAGCAAGGCATAATGACGCAAACCTATAATCCCAGCACTTGAGAGGTTGAGGGGTGAGGATCACTGCAAGTTCAGGACCAGCCTGGACTACAAAGTGAATTCAAGGCCAGCTTGAACTACATTGGGAGACCCTGTCTCAAAAGCCCAGATAATAATAATAACAACAGTAATAGTAATAATAATAAATGCAGAGATTCCATGATGTTTGTTGTTTGGATGGCTCAAAATT